TCATTTGGATAAACACCGAGGGTTAAATCATTTGAAATATTTGCAATGCTTTTATTTAAAAATAATGGACTTTTTATACAAATTCTATGCATATCTAACTTGAAATGCTACTGTTTTGTTGGTTTATTTTTATAATAAATTACTTTTATTATATTGCTCAGTTATTAGTTATTAACAACATTTACGGTACTTAATTATATAGAAATTTTTAGTACAAACAGATCAATACTATCATAAAACACAATTAAAACAATCGATAATCACATAAAATGATTTTTATTTAAGCACCAATGAATATGGTCATTTTTATTCATTTATTCATATATAGAGCCAATGAATTACTGGTACAGTATGTTAAACATAAAGGCATAAAACTTATGATTTCAATGTTATTAATTATTTAGTAAGTAAAGATTATTACTTATTTATATACAATTTAATACATCATTTGATTGATTTAATTTTGTATTTATTGAAATATTCAGTACAAGCTATTTATTATACTTATAATAAATTACATGTACAAACTTTTATAGCGCATATGGCATATGGTAAGTTGAATGCACAAAGCAAAATATTTCTCAAATTATAGATTATAATTCATGAATGTTTTGCAATACAATTTACAAAAGACATTTATGATATATTATATATTTTATTTATTTTTTAATTTCTAATCTGAAAATATTGATATAGGTTTAATCATCTTATAATAATTTAAATAATAATTCTGATTTAATTACAAATAAATTATTTATAATTAAGTAATTTATATAAACTTTTCAATTTAGCAATTTATTTAAGTTAAAAAGATGTTTGGCATTGTTTATATTTGAAAAAATATTTTTATAATAATCTTCATTACACGTTATTAATGAATTAATTAAATCATAATTAAGATATAATTAGCAGGTATCATATCATAGTCATTATTCGGATCGTATGCACCTAAATGTATAAAATAATATTAAGTTCATTCTAGTAATTATTAGTTGTTATTACTTATCAAACTTATAATTAACTTATAATGCTCTGTATATATTGGTGCATATATTATATTAATATTTCGGTATAATATTATGCAATAATTATCATTTATTTTATTCTATTTTATATTTAATAGTTTTCAAAATCATTTAAAAATGATACATAATTAAATTCTGTCGTTAAGTGTACTGTAATCTAGGAACAATATAAAAATACTTAAAAAAATAACTAACATTGTTAATTATTACTTGTTATTATTTTACCAATATGATAAATATTTACTTAATTTTAAAAAATACAGTGTAATAAAGCTAAATTACATGTATGTTTTAATACTGTATCATATTATATTTCTAATACTATACACTGTACTGTATAGTATACAGTATATAAAAATTATTATTTAAAGTCGTTCAAAAATTTAAAATATAAAAATAATATAATGATAATATTGATATAATTTATAAATATTTTGCTCAAAAAATAACTTTTTATTTGTTTTATTTTATCTAATATTTATAAATAATCTATAATAAAATTTTATTGATTTTATAAATAAAACCAAACCTAAGCAATATCAATAATATACGATATTAAAATGGTTGTGCCGGCTGACAGTGCCATGCCTTTAGCCGGGAGTCACTTATATTCAATTGGATTATCATTCTTTCCTTACCATTCCGTGCAAAAGAGGGATATCCTTCACAACCCATCCCTCATATATGCATTTGATTTGGTATTTCTGGTCAAATGCCTGCTCTCTGTGGTTATGGACGACACCAAAGAGTATCAGTTCTTCATAATTGGTGACTACGCCTACTACTGGCCGGGTATTAGAGTGCATATAAACATGGCATACCTGTGCTCAACAGTGATCATGATATTTCAGCAAACCGTGCAATTCTGGTACTATTACCAGCGCATAGAGCCCTCCTATTTGAGGCCATTCCTCATGATGTCCGGAGTGGTGTCACCCAAAGACATCGGATTCACAAACACCGCAGACGTTCACAAACTCATGAGTAGAACCAAAATACTTCTTATGATCTCCAGATTCATGGTGTGGTCGCTGTCGATGAGCACAACCGTTACATCCCTGACCCTATTGTTCATCGATAAGACACTGATGGAGAAGTTGTTTGTGTCGATCCCGTGGGTCTGCGTCTACGCCTACTTCGGCTACATTTGCGGCCAATTCCTGATCTACCCGTTGGTCTACTTTCTGTTGATTTGCTATTATTTAAGGCTTAAACTGAGAGACATTAACAAACAGATACTGTTGGCCACAAACAGTCTAATGATCACATTTATTATGAAGTCGTTGAATGCAATTCATTCAGAAATTAGTGAATTTAATGACAATTATTGGTCGCAATATTTATGTGGATTTACTTTTGCTATCATCACTGTTATTAATTCGTGTATATATTCAATGATATTTACCAATATAAATGTTTTATTCAAGTTAATTATAGCATACGCCGGTTCACTTTACTTGCTAATTTTATTAATACTATTAAATAGTGCCTCAGCTGTCAATTCCGAGGCTAATAACTCGTATAAACTATTGAATACACTTTACTTGAATATAGTCAAGAATTATAAGAATATAACAAATATATACTTGTTAAAAGTAAATAGCATTTTGATTGTATTTTTTTATCTCGTTAATTTTATTATTTTTTGTTATAGTTATCATCAATGATGACAAAAACAGGGCAAAAATCTATCGGTTTTTATTGTTGGACTTTATTCATATTCAATAATTTTAATGTTCATGAGGTAAGCCTTGTATTAATTTAACAATAGTTTGTAAATTAAATACATGAGTAATTATTATAAATTATACAAGTTAATAATTCTGCCGTTTTTCACATTTAATAGATTGTAATAACGATTGGACTGTATTTCATAAAACTCATAGACGTTTCCATTTATCATAAGATTGTTGATTAAATTCAGGAGAAATGTTATGTATTTTACTAAATATAACTTTAATAATAAAATAAATAAAATAATTCAAATGATTTATGATTACTTTTAATAAATATACTAATTACAAATAAATATGCTACTAACAAGGCTAATACTGTATATCAAATCATGCATTCATTGAATAATGCAATTATAATATATCTATTTGAGATCTAAAAAAAATCTTAATGAACACAAACTTTTAAAGGCATCACTATAAGATTTGTATCTAATCAAGCACAAACACAAACGTTTAAATTGAGATTAATATAGAAATTAATCGAGTAATTTTAGTTAGCATTGCTAACTTAGCAATCAAAATAATTTGTTATAGTTAGCGCGATCATTATTTTAAAAATAGTTGAGATTAGTATAGTTTGTGATTTAAATGTTTAGATTAAGTTAAATTATTAACAAAACCGTTAGTCCAACAAAATATGTAATAAATCTTATAAATTGAGTTCAAATCAAAGATTATCTCAAAGATAGCTCAACGAACTGATTCATAAACCAGATCCCAATAGAAATGTTAAAAATGTATAATTATTGGTGCAAATGTATACTCCTATCGACACTACTAACAGACCACGTGTTTGGTGACAGCAAATACTTCTGCAAAGACTCGGTGATCGACGCCATCACTTACGCCGATGACGTCCACATGTATTGGCTCTCAAGCGGATCCCACTTCTGGTGGCTTAAGGAGACAGAGTTCCCGCCGCCCGACTCACTCGCCAAACCGTTTAGCCCACCCTTCACTGGGGCCGACGCCGCCGTATATGTGGACAGTTATTCCGGATGTCGTACCGCATGGATGATGAGGTCACTGGGTATGGACAAGACGTCCAAACATGTATGGGTGACACAACTGATCGGTGGTCAGCAGTGGATGCAGGCTTGGAGTCCAGAGTCCGGCCAATGGCTTAGGGATAGACTGTTGCCCGTCAGCGACGATCACTGCGCCTCGCGAGCCATCATTGGTTGGTCCGATGGTCGACCACTGGACGCCATGTTTGCCACCAATTATCTGAACATCTGGTACGTGAAGGGCGACACTCTGGCGATGGTTGACTGCAACTTCATGTGCACTAACCCACGGAACAAATGGGGCGAAGAGAAGAGGCCGCAGTCGGTCAACACATCGCTCTTATCTTTGGACAAAATCTACGGCATATTCGTGAAGAAGGACCACAAAGATAAGGATCAATACGTGTATGTGTTTTACGAGCGGACATACAGACAACTATCCATAAGCCAAGTGAGAGATGCGGGCGAGATAGTGACCACCGATGACGCCAACAGCACGAAGAATATACTTAAAGACTTTCTAAGGATTGAAAACCCGGGCATCAGTTGCGGGACAGTTGGCGGTCGTCCGACATCCACGACAACCAATGGCTCGGAATCGACATCGGAGTTGCCTATAGGCCATAAAAGTGATGATACCAGCGGTTCCGGTAGTGGTGGCAATCGGTGGCTATGGATAGCTGGTGTTACGGTGATTGTGGTGATCATTGCCATCACGTTCTTGGGCTTACTAACGATGATGCGGATGCGGAACACACGCGGACCTACTGTCCCACCTCCACCTCGACACCGATGAATACCTCCCTTAACCACAAACCTATTAATAGTAGCCAAAGAAGTGTCTCTTAATTATATCTTATGTTAATATTTTGATCTCATTTCATAATTGTTTTCGGGGATTGTCTCACAAAATATAGTTTGCATTATAATTAGATGTCATTTGTGTTTAAATTATTTGAATAAAACTTTTTTGATAATCATTTTTCAAAGGGGTTCTGTGGATGTGGTTGTGATTTAATAGTAACGTTATTTACGAATAAGATATTTGGTGAGAGATTTGTCCAAAAAAATTGTTTTCACTTTTTCAGTGATGAAACCGTTTGCAGGGATTGTATAGAAATTGAAGTAATTATAACTTTTATATCGATTATAAGTGTATGAAAGTCGAGCGCTTTCGCTGATAATACAACCCCTGGTGTACTGAAAGCACGTGTTTCTCATTGTCTCGCAAACTGTCCACTCGTTTGCATGTCTTGAGTGCCACTCATTGTGCGGTTTAAGACAGTCATCGATAACCACAGACACATAGAGGGAGACAATGAGTGATCTGAAACTATCACCGGACGTGGTCCAGGGCTGCCTCACACACGTGGACGCCACCGATGACCAGGTGGTGGTGTGGGCGCAGATGGATATGGCGGCGGTGGTCAAGCAGGAGATGAAGATGTCTTTGCACTACCAGTTCATGTTTGACAAGTACTACCGGCCGTCGATGCACCCAACCATCACCCAACTGGTCCCACTCACCGGCAAGTACTACATCTTCGGGTATGTGTGCCATGTGTTTAGCCGTTGATCTCGTCATCTGATCCCCCAATCCACTGGTGTCCTAATGGCAGCGATAAGTCAAACCACAACTTCTATCGCGTTTTGATCAAACGAGTGGATCCGATGGCTCGCCAATCGGTGGTCTCGTTCATCGACTTCGGGTACGAGGAGTCGGTGCACAACAGCTGTCTTATGGTCTACGAAGACCTCTTCGACTCGAAACCATTGGCCGAACCATTCGTATTGCACGGCATTCAACCCAAAGACCCGCAAAGAGGTACCAAACCATCGCTTTGATTGTCATTCAATGTCTTAATGTGTTTGCCATTTGTTGGATGTCTTAAAGGCTGGAATCGCGAGAAAGTGAAGCAATGTTTGGATCAGTTCTGTAGTTCCGTGTTTTGGTTCACCATCTGTGAGATGATGTCTCAACGAGTGGTCAAAGTGTATGATAACAATCGCCACGAGATTCTCGTGAATACACTAAAGGATGAGTACTTTGACGACGACCTGATCGCTGGTGACAATGGGTCGACACCGACGCTGATCGCCATCGACTACAAGAATAGGCCGCAAACGACCAGTCAGTCGTCCATTGAGATGACAATGGATCAGACCATCGACTCGAGGCTCGGGTCGGCGCTCAACTTCAGCCAACACTTCAGCACATCCACAATATCGTTGATCTCAGACTTCAGTCCCAAGAACTCTAATCCCATGGACGAGACCGTCGAGGAGACCATTGATGTGCCCAAAGATAATGTCCCCCTCTTTGTCGATAGAGTGCATCAAATTGCGAATCCATCCAAAAGAGTGGTTAAAATCGATTCTCAAGACCTAATCACTGGCCAACAACTGGATAATGGCATTGACTATGAAGTGGACGAATGCAGTGATAATAGGAACCAATTGGACCGTGAAATCAATGATGATATCCAAGAATTGGAGAACACATTGAAGTCGATTACCGGTGAAGACAGTATTAAAGACATGCCATCGGATGCCGACAACACCTATGGAAACGAATTGAATGGAAATTCTCTGAATAATAGTCTGAATGATGGCTATAGAGGTGATAACGAAGCCGAAGATCCGGTGGTTAGTGCCAAACCAGTGGATGTGACACAACAGGTGCCGAGTGGTGACACGACTGTGCAAATGTCAGACTTAGAGGAAGTGGCGCTCGAGAAGATGTATTCGTTGTGTCAAACGGCTAAACAGGTGAAGATATCATCGGCTGAGAACTCGACGTCTATTTACGTTCAGTTGGATGAGCACAACGAGACGTTGGAGGCATTGGTGGACGATATGACTGACTATTACACGAATATCACGGATCTGGAGATCAGTGGATCCGACGTGAGAGATGTGGTGATGAATAGGGGACTCTTAGCTGTGTATAACAGTCTGGAGAGCAAATGGATGCGAGCCATGGTATGTGGAAAGCCTAATGAGAATCAGTTGAATGTGTTTTACGTTGACTTCGGCGCCAAAGAGACTGTGGAGTTGGAGGCCTGTTGTCATCTGTTGGAACACTACTCGCATCTGATCCCACACGCCATCCATTGCCGCCCTATCAACGAGAGGGTAAGCTATTATGTGCTCAAGAGGTTGGAGTCCAAGGAGGAGGTCATTGATGTGGTGTTCGGTAAGGTTTTGGATAATAGTGTCATTGAAGTCCTATTGAATGATAAATGCCTTAAATAATGCATTTATTTCTATGTATTGATGTCATTGTGTTTTATGGCAATTGTATTCATTTGTATTTTTGTTTAATTTGTAATTTTTAAGGATTTTATTTAAATTATTATCTGAATTGCATTTAAATATATCGTGTATTCATTGAGCAAACGTGTCTGTTATTGAAATTATACTGTACTTTGATTATTGTTTTTTACAATTAATTATTGATGTGTTGTATGAAAATTGTTGTCAAGCTTTGAGCGTTTATAATGAAATGATGATCTTATGGTATTTGTTGAGACAATGATTTTTGTTGAGTAAACAAATAAAACTTACAAATAATTGAATTTATTGCTTGTAATCAGACGTTCAACTGGTGATACTGTACTGTAGTTTGCTTAAAGTTAAGCAAACAATTTGTGCTCAACTTTTGTTCACACTATAAGCTAATAAAAATTGCAATAAAACATTGATTTGTGTTGATTGCTTAAACTGGTATCTAATCTAACAATTTTGCAATAAGTAGTGGTGATGTATAGCCTTCAACAATGACAACTGCACTCTTCAAGGATATCCACATAAACTAATACTTTGTATTCAAATTTAATTAATTGTATTTTGAATTCAGTTTTTAACAATTATTTTTTGTTTTTGTCTTGTTAACTTTTGTGTTAATTTGTTTTAATCATATATTGCGACACGAATATTTCATATAAAAGTGGTGATTAGATAACTAGAAATACAGTGATTATAATAATTTTATCAAACATTGTGAGTGCATTCCGGACACTTTACATCCATACAGTAGTATTTACATAGAAATTAGCTGTCACTACCAAAACATTATTAATTCAGTAATTTTGTAACTGTTTTATTGTGAAATTAACTTATATTGCTATTATCGTAATAATTTTAAATTGATGATTATATAATTTATTTTATAGTAAAGTCTATTTCTAGTGTAATATAAGTTATAAGTTTAATAACAACTAATTTGAACAAGTTCTATTTGGATAGTATTACACAATTGTTAATTTAGTACAAAACTATTCTAAACACCAGTGTCAATTTGGATCCAAATATCATGTTAACCAAAGCGCCCATAACTCACGTGATTTTCGATATGGACGGGACAGTAGTGGACACGGAGTCCCTGCTATACACAGCACTGGACACTGTATGCAAGCGTTACGATAGAAGTGTTAGTTTTGACACAAAACACAAACTATTGGGACATCCGTTCAAAGATCGCACTCAACAGCTATACAGCGACCTGGGATTTGCCGGCCACCCGGTGCTCAGCTACAGACAGTTCATCAGCGAACTGATCGCTGATTGTCTCGAGAATGTCAGCCGCAATGGTCTCAAACTAATGCCCGGCGCTCAGCGAGTGGTCGACTATTTTGCCGCAAACGGCATACCGATGGCCATAGCGTCCGGTAATGACCGGCACTCATACGATGGAAATCGGCAGAGGTTTGACCCGTTTTTTGATCACTTCAGTCACGCCATACTGTCCGGTGAGAAGAGTGAAAACATTAACCCAAAGCCCGACCCGGATATCTATCTGAGAGCCTACCAGCGCTTTACCCCCAAACCCGACTCCGCGGCCAATGTGTTGGTGTTTGAGGACAATGAAGTGGGTGTGGAGGCGGCTGCCGGCGCCGGTATGCCCTGTGTGTTGGTTGTGGACCAACGGCTTAACTCGCAAAAGGAGTCCAATTTTGCGACACTTGTTATCAATTCAATGAATGAATTCAAACCACAATTGTTTGGTTTACCAGAAATGTAACCAATTTTACGGTAATCGTGTCGCAAATGTATTTTAAAGTCTTTTTAATACAGAATTTTTTGTCAATAAAATAAAATTACTAAATTTAGTTATGCAATAAAAAAAGTTCAACAAAAATGTTTTTTCCAAAATAATTATGTCTTTAAATTATTCAAAAAATAAAACACATGTCAAGTGTGGCACATGTTTAAGTGTGTCATAAAAAGAGTAGGGTATTTTTCAGTACTTCCCGGTCCATATAGTTATTAAGTTACAGAATATTCTCTATACTTTAGTACAATGTACAATTAACAAGTATATTTGCACTGTAAACCTTACAGGCATTGTGTAAGACTTACTGTATTATACAATACACTGGTATGTAATGAGAACAATAACCCAATAGTATTATGACTTGAATTATAAACACATATTTAATGGTTATAAAAGTTTCCATTTATTAGAGTCAACACATTCTGTAGTTATTGTGTGTTTTGAATATGAATTGAAAATTCTGTGGATTTCCTTTTGCGACAGGATTTGGATTTTCAAGTCATAAAAATCTATTTATATTTTTTATATTTCATTTATTGTATGAATATTCAGACAAACATTTATTTTTCCCCGCCGTGTTTTCCCATTAATTAAATAAAACGTTTAGTCAATAATTGATTAATTGTTTTATTATGTAAAACAATAGTAAAAGTGTTGGATACATTAATAAACTATTTTGACAAAATAAAAGTGAATGTCATTTGAAAATCAATTGTTTTTCATATAATCTGCACAAAAAAAACATTTCTAAAGCCGTCTATAAAATTCATTTAATGCTAACAAAAAGCTTTCAAAATCTGTATTTAAAGAGTTGTGAAAAGTTGTAAAATATTTTTTGAAAACAAAACAACAATTTTTTGTGAAATAAGATCCAAAATAGTGTTCATCACATCATTACTAATAATAATAAAGTTTTGCTAAAATTATTTAAAGGCCGAGTGATTGCCAATCAAAATATAAAACTTAACTAAAAATAGTTTTAACAAAAATAACAAACATTTCAATACCAAACAAAATATATTTTTATAACGTATTCAAAGTCCCAAAAACTATTTTTACTTTCAAACCAAACGTCAAGTGATATTCAAGTCATAGTAAAAGCACATAATATGTCGACAAAACTCCTACCGATTTGTGTGTTAATCGTATGTCTGGTGTATGGCATTGATGGTCAGTATCAGGAGACACCGATGGACTTGGAGGACCCTCGGGTGACAGCCTGTGCCAACGTCGTGGCCGCCGCTATGAGTAACGCTGATATTGAGTACGTGGTCGACACCATTTGGGACGCAAACACCATCACTGGTAGCGATATAGATATTCAAATCCGAGTGATCCTGGCTTATTTCAATCTGTACGGGTGTCGTAATCCTAGTGGCTGTGAAGTAAGTGCTTATCATATCATTACCCATATTATTAGCAATAAAAAGTTTAGTTTTGGGTTTTCAATAAAAAAATAGCTGACCATTAGTTTCTAATTTAGTGATGAATGCACCAAAAAATTACAATTTTTGTACATAAAATCCAATTCTTGAATACAGTCGTAATGTTGATAAAAGTTGTTGAATTTTTGCCATATATACGGAATCTTTTAGATCCGATTTACCATAAGAATTATATTTTCAAAACCGAAAACTCAATGTTTTAATGTGAATCACTTGTATCGCTATTTTGTATTGTTATTCCCGAAGTCCTAAGTAAGTACTAAGTTATACAAAGTTATATAACTATTAAATTTAGTTAGTATAACTAATTATAAGATTTATTAACGGAATATAAGTACTCTTATAGTGAAATATTATTAAATAAATTGTTAAAATGATTTTTATAGCTTTGAAAATGTTTTCATTAAATTAATGAATTTGTTTGTGTATAATAGCGTCAAATCAACTGCAATGCTGAGGTACGTGGCAGTGGACAGGGATCTAATCCTTACAAACTGATGAGAATAGGCTGCTCTCCGACCACTTCTCAGACCAGACGCCGACGAAAGATGTCTAATAAGAAGAAGTCTCGAGTAATCAAACGTATGATGAAGTCCTCCAAAGACAATAGGATTCCCAAACCAGCCCTCGCTATCAATGCTTTTTAAATACTGTGTATTTTTGATGTAATTTTAAAACAAATATTTTAATAAACGAGTCAATTGCACAAACTATGACCAAAAATTGAAAAGTTATTTAATTAGGTGCTTACAAAATTATAAAATTATGTTATCAATTATGTTAAAATCAAATAATAATTAAATTGAATGGAAAAAGTTAATCAACTAATGTATTTGTTTTATAACAACTGATATTATAATATACAATCAATTAGTGCTTATTAGAGATGTAAGCCCTTGTAAGTTACGTAACTTACGCGTAACTTACGTGTAACTTACAACCAAAAAATAACTTACATGTAACTTACAAACCCATTACTAACGACATCTATTAGCAAAAGTAGTCTTGTCCTGAAGTTACGGATCAGCCTTGCCGACTTGCCTTACCTACATTATTCTAACAACCTACTAAACGGCGGGAGTAACTATGACTCTCTTAAGGTAGCCAAATGCCTCGTCATCTAATTAGTGACGCGCATGAATGGATCAACGAGATTCCCACTGTCCCTATCTACTATCTAGCGAAACCACA